TTTATGTCAGAGTGTGAGGCTTGTGGCAGGCTGTATTTTCCATGAGGTGGCTGCCATGACACAGCTCATTGCTCATGTTCTTTTTATAATGTAATGGTGACCCTGCTTTGATGGAGATGTGGGTAAGCTCTCTTTCCTTATTGATTGTGGGCAGAACTTTGTGACTCCCTCAGAGGTGATGGCAGAGGTGATGCTCTGTGACTTCTGAGGTTAGATTATAAAATATCATGCACTTTTATGCCTTGTTCTCCTGGGATACTCATTCTTGGAAACCAGCCACCAAGCTGTGTGGAACTGCTATGGTTGGTATGGTTGTACCCTCCGGAACACATGGTAAAACTTAATTGCTACTGTAATAGTATTAAGAGGTGTGGCCTACAGAAATGATTAGGTCATGGGGGCTCCACCTTCATGAATGGATTAACATCATTACTAAGGGAGTGGGTTTGTTTTCAGAGAGTTAGTTGCTATAAATCAAGTCCAACCTCTCCTACTTTGCTCCTTTGCACATGCTCTTGCTTCCACCAAGAGCAAGCTCTTTGACCGTGGACTCCCAGCCTCCAGAACCATGAATAAAATAAATTGCTGTTCATTATAAATTACCCAGTCTGTACTATTCTGTTATAGCAATAGAAAATGGACTAAGAGGACAAGCAGCTACATGGAGAGGCCACTTGTCAGTGTCCTGGCTGACAGCTCCAGTTGCAGTTCCAACGAACATCCAGTGTTAAATGCCAATCATATGAATGAACATCTTGCCTTAGTCAAGCCACCCCAGCTGACAGTGCATGGAGCAGAGTCAATTCTTCCCTTCCAAGTCCTACCAAAACTGCCAAATAAATTTTTGGTTTTGCTTTAGGCTACTGAATTTGGGGATGCTTTGTTATGCAGGACTGGATAACTGGAATGGGGCCGTAGCTCTGCCTGCCTTGAGACAGAGAGAGAGAGAGAGAGAGAGAGAGAGAGAGAGAGAGAGAGAGAGAGAGAGTATGTGTGTGTGTATGTGTGTGTGTTCCTAACATTCCATGCCTTTGTGTGTGCCTGCAGGCAATGTATTTTGTCAGATGTCTGTGTACATGAATAGGTATGTGGGTAAAAGTGCTTTTGGAGATAGAGTCATGGTTCTTGGAGTTTTGCTTTGGCCTCAGTGGGATGCTGTTTGGTGAGAACACTTTGAAATCTTGTCTGTCTTCTGGGTCTCTTCTTTTGAGTGTTTTTCCTTTGAACCAGAAAGGCCTATTTAAAGAAGAGCTAATGCAGCTTGAATTTATTGACCTTTCTCTGGCCCAAGCCCACTGGAGCTGCCAAGGCCTTCCAGCAGGTGGGAGACTGCCATCCAGAGTCCTCCCAGCCTATTCACAAGGGCTGAAAAAAGTTTTTTTCTTTTTCCTTTTCTGCCTTTAAGGTCTTCAGAAGTGAACCACAGACAGAACAAATACAGTCACTGGGGTCCTTGAAGTCTCTTGGGGGTAGAGAAACCTAGAATTCTTGACTGCCAACAATGAAGCTGCTGATACAGTCTCAGATATGTTCAAGTCACAGGGTAGAGGTCATCTAGTCAGTCTCTGTCTTGTCTTGGATGCTGTAGTCCACTCCATGTGAGTACAGTCCAGGCAGTGAAGGACCCTTGTTCAAAAGATGAGCACTTCCTGTTGATCTCTTCTGGAATGCCTGTTAGCTTCCTGTTTCTTCCATGTTTGCTGCCTGACTTAGCTTTTCTGGGAATGCTCCTGCCCTCTAAAGTACTCTTGGCCAATAGAGCTTTCTTCAGTGATGGAAATGCTTTATAATCTTTGCTGTCCTATATAGTGCCAATAGTCACATGTGGCTAATACCTACCATTTTGGATGACACAGTTCTGTTTTGTTTTTGGCACTGTGAATTGAACCCAGGGGCAATTTTCCACTGAGCTACATCCCCAGTCCTTTTTATTTTTAATTTAATACAGGTTTTGTTGAATACTGAGGCTGGCCTTGAGTTTGTGATCCTTCTGCCTCAGCCTCCTGAGTAGCTGAGACTACAGGTATGTGTCGTCGCCCCAGGCTGGACAGCACATTTCCATTGACTTCAGAAAGAAGAGTTTTTGTTTATCTGTGAAAATGGGGACAAAATCTGCCCCACCTGTCTAACACTGTGTCTGATACAAACAAATGATGAATGTGAAAGGGCTTTACTCAAAAAAGGACCTGAAAATACAGTAGTGTGAACTGAGTGGGCTTATTCTTAGAGCTCTTTGTTAACATTTCTGTAAAATGGCATTTGCTTTGTTTACATTTCTTTGTTCCTCACTTGACCCTGAGCTCTCTCAGGATAAGAACACAGCAGGACTATTTCACAGCTTTCTCTCTCCACAGCCAAGGACTGGCATTTAGCTTGATGTTCATGTTCAAGTGAATGAAATGTCTGGAGTCCAGAAGTTATTCCTGACAGCAGGATTTGACGTGTATGGGGAAAATTGGGTGGACAGAGAGGAAGGGACCAAGAAGAGGAGATAGGGCAATACAGTGTTGAGACAGAGGTAGGGCTCCTGGTTCCCATCCAGAGACAGTAGGGAGTCAATTTCTGAGGCCAGAATGTTTTCACATAACAGGATATCAGATTTCTGGGAGATTAATTCAGAAAGGCCCTTCAGAGAAATGGTCTGCTTAACACATTCTGCTTGTTGAGGAAGGCCAAGTTGATCATATAAATTTCTGCCTGGCTAGGACTTGAGGTTGGTGCTGTGGTTTACTTTGGTTTGACTAATGGTGGCTGGTTTGAAGGTTATGCAATCTTTAACCTTCCAAGCTCTGCTCTTCTGGAGAGTGGAAGAGGGAAGATAGAAGCTGTACATCAGAGGTATGAGGGAAAGACAGCTCTTTGGTTGCTATTTATTTAAAAAGAAAAAAATTAAAATTATTTTTGTTCAATTCTAAGAACAATACAGGACAAGAGATTCCCACCATTTGCTTTGCTCCCTGGTTTTCAAACTTCCTACTTGGAGGAAATTTGGGATTTCAAACTTCCCACTTGTTGGCACTACTTCCCAACAAGTAGTCCTCTTTGCTTGGAGCCATGTAAATAGAAGCTGTCTGCTTAGGCCCAAAGTTGCATTTTTGGCTTCAGTAGCTGAGGAGTCTTGAGCTTAGAGCCAGTACCATTGAGAACTTGGTTCTCATCCAGAGCTTTTCATAGTTCTATGAGGCTGCTATAACAAAACATCTTGGACTGGGTAACTTATAAACAACAGAAATTCACTGCTCATAGTTTCAGAAGTTATGAATTCCAAGATCAAGGTGCCAACAGAGTCAGTGTCTGGTGAGTGCTTGCTCTCTGCTTCAAAGATGGTGCCTTCTTGCTGTGGCTTCACATGGCACTTCTACTGTAAGAACACTAATCCTGTTCTCCAAAAGCTCATTTCTGAATATTATTACATTGGGCATTAGGTTCTGATGTTCAAATTCTGGGGGAATACCAATATTCAGACAATAGCCTGACGTTTTTCAAGGCTTGGAGACTGGGGAGGTCACTGAATATGCCCCCTCACATACCTGAGGTAATTAGATCTGTTGCAAAGATGAATCCAGGTCCCTGTGAATACCGGCAGGTCAGTGTTCAGCTGGACTCCTGTCTAGGCCCAAGAATATGTGCTAAGATTTGACCATATTCTAGTTTTAAGGATGTTACTCTTGTAGCACTTTATTAGTATCTTTTTAAAATAACTTGTGCAAGACTCAGTTGTAATTTATATGTTCATTCTGTAATTTATTACTCATGCAATAGATATTTGTTCAACATTTATTTCCTGTCCTCATGATACAGATAGTCCCTGACTTACAATGGTTCAATTTATGATTTTTTGACTTTATGATGATGCAAAAATGATACACATTCAGTAGAATGTGTACTTTGAATTTTGATCTTTTCCCAAGCTAGCAATATTTAGTAAGACACTCCCTCAAGATGCTGACTAGTGGCAGCTAACCACAATTCTGTCAGCTGTGCAATCAGGAGGTTAAACAGCTTCTACACTGTACTGTGTTGCTAAGCTATAATATTTGATAGGTTTGGTGTATTAAATGAGTTTTTTTCTTTTAATTTTTTTAAAGTTGTTGATGGATCTTTATTTTATTCATTTATTTATATGTGGTGCTGAGACTTAAATCCAGTGACTCACACATGTGAGATAAGCACTCTACCACTGAGCCACAACTCCAGCCCAAATGAGTTTTTTTTTTAATATTTTTTTTTAAGTTGTAGTTGGACACAGTATATTTAATTTATTTATTTTTATGTGGTGCTGAGGATTGAACCCAGAGCCTCGCAAGAGCTAGGCGAGTGCTCTACCGCTGAGCCCCAGCCCCAGATCCTAAATGAGTTTCTGATTTACAATATTTTCATCTTGCTATGGATTTATTAGGATGTAATCCCATTCCAAGTCAGGACTGTATGAGGTAGTGACATAAGCTACAATTATTCTTGGGCCCCACTTCTCTCAATGGTCTCTTGGGTGCACTATAGGAAAGTTGGGCTGTTCTGTGACCTTTCCTCACAGTACCCTGGGAAGTGTTTAATCTAGACCTTTCTTGCTTTTTTTTTTTCCAAAAATTTTTAGCTGTAGATGGACACAATACTTTTATTTTATTTTTATGAAGTGCTGAGGCTCGATCCCAATTCCTCCCACATGATAGGCAAGTGCCCTACCACTGAGCTACAACCATAGCCCCTAGACCTTTCTTATAAACTGGTACTACCCCTCAACTATTTCCCAGGACTTGTTCTCCATCCCCAGGTTACTAACTAAGGTTTGCTCGGTGTTTGTGAAGTCAATTTCCCACCTGCTTAAAGTAAACATCAAGAAGGTAAGTTGACAGCTGGAAGCTCACACAATATATGGAGAAGGGAAAGGAACTCCAGAGATATTTGATTATTGGCTCTTGGTGAATACCTATCATTTGGATTATTTGGCAGATATTTAGATGATCCTTTTCTCTTCTCACAAATAACTAGGAATCACTCACTAATCACTGTGTCTGGGCTGTGAAGGTAGCAGGGTACTCCATTTCGCTGGTCAGGCTTAGCATGTCTAGGCAAGAGGAAGGTCTACCAGGAGGTATAGTGGAAATAGAATAGGATTTAAGAGGCACCTAAATCTAGCTTGAATTCCCGGTTCTACCACCTCCTGACTGTATAACTTTATAAATTCTTGCAGTCTCTCCATTTATAAAAAGGGAATGGCAGTTTCCATCTTAGGAAATTATGAGAAGTAAATATATGTGGAACACCTGGCACATACAAGACAGTTATACAGCAGGATTAGAACTGCAGGTGACCTCTTATTTTTTAAATAACTGATAGTTTAAAAAATTTACACAATACGCAATTATATGAAGCGGGTGATTTACAGGTGGTCTTATTCTGAATGAATTTCCAAAGGACTATTTATTGCTTGACATTCGATTTTGGTTACTGAGTCTTAACAGCTTGATTTATTTTTATCTTCCACCCCCTCCGGTTTCCTAGCAGGATCCTCCTGCTAGGAGGAAATCAGGCTTTAAGAAATCAAGAAATTTCGAACTTCTAGCTTGGAAGCAAAACCAGGCCTGTAGGTCTCTGTTTAAGACTTCTCTCATCCTGGCGGAGGGACATTAAAAAAGAAGAAGTCCCGGAATCCGCGTAGGAAGGCGATGGGGGCGGGCCTTAGCAAAAGACGGAGGAGGCGGGGCTCGCGATTCTGCGGAAGCGGGGCGAGGTGGCTATCCGCGGCCCTGGTGGCTACAATTGGGCGAAGCTGGGAGCGACGTAATAGCCGCGCGCTCACGGGTTCAGACGGTCGCTGCCGCATTTGCGCACGGGGAGCTGGTTGCCGCTGCGGCCGCCTGGAATTGTGGGGTTTGTGTCTGCCCCTCGGCTGCCGTGCTGGAAGCCGAAGGTAGGGGCGGTGAGGGCTGCCCGGCCCTGGAGCTGGGCGGGAGGGCTAAGGACGCTGTCCCGGTCTCCTCCCGCCAGTGGCCTCGGCTCCTTCCCTATAGTGTTTGGGGGCCCTAACACATTCCCCGCTAGCGTTTCCAAAACGAAATGTCCAAAAGGGTCCTAGAAATTCTAGCTGCATTCTCTGCCTTTACCATCGAAAACGTCTCCAGGAGATGAGGCAGTGGGAGACCCAGTCTGGCTTTTGGCTCTGCATCTTAGTTTATTTGATCCCTATCCTCTTTGTCCCGGTCTCAGTTTTACTCATCTGTCCCAAGGAAAGGGTGGATTAGGTGTTGATCTCCAAGGCCCCTCCAAGTATTGACATTTTGGTTTTTGACAGAGACCTCTATGTGTCTTCACCCTGTGAAGTTGAGCCTTGTCAGCTTAGTATTTCTACTCTCCTATTGCGTGATTTCCTTGGTCCTGGCAGTTGGAAGATCTGTCTTTAACGTAGAGGTTACAGACTTTGGTGTGTTTGAAATCACCTAGGGAATTTGTGCATAATCCCTGTGTTTTACCTTAAGGCACTTTGGAAAAGATGGTTCATGGGCATCTGTAGTCCCCATCTCAGGTGGTTCTCATTCAGGTGGTCCTGGAATCCTTGCTTTGAGAAACTCTGCTTCAAAAGCCAGGAGATGAGCTGCTGGAATGAGTGTCAGGATGGGAAAGGCCAGGCATCAGGAAAGAAGGCCAAGAAGCCAGGAAGGGCTTCCTTTGCACTGGAAGAGCTGGAAGACTGATATCTTTAAAAAAAAAAAAAAAAAAATATATATATATATATATATATACACACACACACACACACATATATACACACACATATATACACACACATGACTCATCTCATGTAAGGTCACACATATATACACATATATATACACACACATATATGTGACTCATGTAAAGTCAGTTTTCTAATGTTTTAAAATGCCTGGCTTTGATTGAAGTCCAGCTGGCTTTCCCATCTCAATAAAACAAAGCAGAACTGCAGCTGCTTTGAGTAATGGAAGGAGGTTAGATTAACCGAGACTAAGTAGGCAGGAGGAAAGTGAATCCTCCATATTTGCTGAGAAGAAACTGCTGTGTTTACAGATAGTAACAGTGTTTGTTGTGACAGTGTGAAAGATGTTTTGTGTGTCTTTTTAGCTTTCCCTGAACCCCAGTTTTTTTTTCTTTTCCCATGGAAGCATATCTGCACTTGGGGACTGGATAAATTTAATGGAAGCCAGGGTGTACTGATATTAAGATTGATATTTGTGGGCTGGGGTTATAGCTCAGTGGTAGACTGCTTTCCTGGCATGTATGAGGCACTGGGTTTGATTCTCAGCATCACATATAAATAAATAAAATAAAGGTACATCAACAACTGAAAAATATATAAAAAAAAGATTGATATTTGTGTAACATGGGTCAGAACTTGGTCTGTGGTTTCACTTGAGAACATGGCCTTTGGGTTTTTTTTTTTTTTTTTTGGTAGGGGGTAGAGGGTGGAATCCAGAGCAATTCTACCACAGAGCCACGGTCCCATATACTTTTTTTTTTGAAGATGGGCTTACTAAAGTTGTGAAGGTTGACTTTGAAATTGTGATCCTTTTGCTTCAGCATCCCAAGTAGATGAGATTACAGGCTACTCATCTTTGGACCTTTATAAAAAAAAAATTTTAAAAAAGGATTTTTTTTTAAAAGTTGTTGATGGACATTTATTTATTTATTTACTTATATGTGGTGCTGAGAATTGAACATGTTAGGTGAGCACTCTACCACTGAGCCACAACCCCAACCCCTTGCTTTGGATTTTTAAAGATAGTTTTGCCACACCAGATTTATCTTAACTTTTTTTCAAATATTTAGTGAGTTTAATTTGCTAATTAATACATATACCGATGAAATTGGCAATAAAAAAGACTGTCCCCATTTTACAGATGATGGGAATGGGGAATGTGTTAGACATATGGCAAACCATGAATGAAAAATTGTTTGGTACTTTGATATCTGTTTTCTACCTCTTTCCTGCTGTTTTCTGAAGGCCAGTTGTTAACTTGCTTCTCTTCTGGTGTCAACTTTGAGTACTGGTGTGTTTCATCAGCAGGAAAAAAGACTGAGTAAAGCTGAAAAGTAACAATGGATTTTATGATAACAAATACACCAGAACTTAATCCTCCAGTGTTGCTCTCCTTTAGAGTGATGTGGGTTGTGAGGGTTAGAGGAGGCATCATTTAAGGGATAGGGCCATTTTCCGAAGTAGTAGCTCACCTCTGGAATTGTTTTCAGAGATATTTTTTGCTTTAAATTCCAAATGACATGGTTAATCAATCTTGTCACCTGACTTGTCTTCAGATGAATTAACCTTTTTTTTTTTTTTTTTAGAAGTGGACATAACAGATTTCTGGAGTGTGGTGAACATGGGTTTTAGTTCTGAGTCTACCGCTTAGTAGCCATAAGATCTTGAGTAAGTTACTTCACCCCTTAGCAGCAGTTTTCTACTGCATAAAGTGGGAATACTTAAAAAGACAGTTAAATGGGGCGTTACATATGAAAACTCTTGGGACACAGGAATGCAATAAATGTTTGTTTCCTTCTCAAAGAATAAGGAGTTGCTATTAATTCAGAAGAACGTGACAGTCTCTAAAGGGAAGTTGTTATACCTTTTCTCAAATAGGTCGATTCTCTTTTGCATGTTTATAAATTAATACTCTGACCTGCTTATCCTGCCTCTTGCCTTTTTCTTTATTTTCTGTCTTTTTCTAAGTGAAGCTGTGTTGCAGAGGCTGTCTGCTAGTCTCTTGTGGAGTAAGCCTTTTTGTTTTGGAGAACTAATCCAGAACATTCTTACAATGGTCATGTATTCCTGAGAATTTTTCTCTGGCGCCTCTACTGGTGCCCAGATCATGCTCTGTAGCACAGGCATCTCTAATTCCTGGATTTGGTGTCAATTTGGAGACCTGTCCTTGTGGAGCTAATCTTTTCTAAGCAAGGATGAATACTTTATCCTTCTCTGAGTCGGCATTAAGCTGCAAGCCTTAGTCTTCTACAGCAGAGAGCATCATATTTTAATTATATGTGGTTTAAAGAGAGGATGTCCTACCCTTTTCTTCATTTACTTTTACCAGGAGTTTCAGTACTATGTAGGGAAAGAGGCAAATAGTCTCATTCAGGTGAGACTTTGGGTAACCCCTGATTTCTAGCACCAAAAATAACTGAGTTTGGGGGGCTGGGGATGTGGCTCAAGCGGTAGCGCGCTCGCCTGGCATGCGTGTGGCCCGGGTTCGATCCTCAGCACCACATACAAACAAAGATGTTGTGTCCGCCGATAACTAAAAAATAAATATTAAAACTCTCTCTCTCTCTCTCTCTCTCTCTCTCTCAAAAAAAAAAAATAACTGAGTTTGGGACAAAAACCTTATCAAAGATTCTATCTGTTTAGATGCATGTGGAGACCTCATGGAGTATTCCTAGGTTGTGAGGAGTTTATAACTGGGTTCTCATTTATGCAGTTTTCTACCCTGGTTATAGGGAGAATCCAGCAGCAACAGAACATCCTTCAGCCCAGTCTTGTAGTTCCTTCGGGTTCCACCAGGAAGCTCATAGACAAGGATGTGATCCTGCTGGTTGACTGGCTGTGTCTGTCCTTATTCTCCTAATATTGCCCTTGGACTTGGTGATAAAAAGGAAGTGGCGTAGACAATGGACAAGTAACATTCTATTCCAAAACCTTGGGGTTCAGGGGGAAAGAGCTCTGTGCATATATCTGGGCAATTGGAAAATACCAGTCTTAGGAATGCTGCTGAAGTGCTTTGAGTCGTTCATGACATCCACCAGGTTTCTTGGTGATCTCATTTGTGAAATGGGAATGCCTTCATTGATATTTTCCATGGGAAAGGTGAACAATTCCAGGATAGAGGGATTGCCCAGATGTGAGACTTTCTGTGCCTGTACCAGGGAAGTCCAGGGAAAACTGAGACAAATTGGTCATCCTATCCATGACCATTATACAAATTAATGAACTTGATCACTATGCACTATTGGATCAATCCTTTTGAGCTCATCTAAGCAAGTGTTTCCTTTTTCAATTTTTTAGTTGTAAATGGACATAATGCCTTTATTTATTTATTTGTATGTGGTGCTGAGGATTGAACCCAGTGCCTCACACATCCTAGGGCAAATGCTGTATCACTAATAACCCCAGCCCCTAATCAAGTGTTTCTTAAGCTTTTGCTCATTATCATTTTTTCAGACCCCCCCACCCCGCAATTGCCTATCCCCTCCATGAAATTTTACTACCAAAGATATGCTGTGTATTTGTTTGTGTATTGTGGCCCTTTTGATGGCCACACACTATTATGATATCTAATATTTTTTTCTACCAAGAATCAATTTTTACTATCTTCATTATGATATCCTATATTATTTCTCTAACATAATCATCAAGGCCTTTTTTTCACCTAGAAATAACTCTCATTGTAAGCTTTTTCAGTGCTTCAAATAGCAAACTAGTGAAAGCAGAGGAATGTTATCTATACTTTTTAACCTACCTTATATGTCAGTTGGTATTATTCCTCATTTTATAGATGAAGAAACAGATTTAGTGAGATTAAGTGATTTGTCAAGGTTAAAAATCTTGCTGCAGGGCTGGGGTTGTGGCTCTGTGGTACGTGTGAGGCCCTGGGTTCGATCGTCACATAAAAAAATAAATAAAATAAAGATATTGTGCTCAACTACAACAACAACAAAAAAAGCTTGCTGCAGTCAGAATTTAAACCTAGCTATGGCTCCAAAGTTCTTTCCATTGCATGGTGTACCACTCCATGAGTGCTCCTATATTTCCACCCTGTGAAATTGCATCATTAGCAGGATATTTGACCACTTCGCTCACTTTTCTTTTTTCTTTCTTTTTTTTTGTACCAGGGATTGAACACACAGGCACTTAACCACTGAGTTACATTCCCTATTTTATTTTTTGAGACAAAATTTCACTAGGAGGCTGGCTTTGAACCTGTGATTCTCTTGCCTCAGCCTTCCAAACTGCTGGATTATAGGCATGCGCCACTACACC